GTGTCTGAAGACTTTGGTCTGTGCCTGCCTGTTCCCACAAGTGTCCATGTACTCTCTGCCCCCGTGCCTACGTTCACCTTGGCATGGGCTTGTATGTGTGTGGCCCATGTGTTTGTATATCACAGGGAGTATGCATTTCTGAGCATGTACCTGTGTTTACCCATGTGCCTGCTAGGGCATCTCTGTGCGTGTTTGCAGGAATGTGTGTCCTTTGAGTGTCTCTGTGGTTGTGCCCTGTGTCTTCACACGTGCCCACAATCTCAGCTGCAGTGAAGATGCAGAGATAAGTCCTGGGGGACAGGTTGGGATGCTGAGTCCTGGGGCGTCAGCATGCTCTGTCCTCTCCTGATTTGCCAGGTATCCTAGCGACGCTGCTGCTAGTTGCCTAGCAACCAGGTCCCCATCCTTGGAGAAGTATGCTCTGAGCAGGGTCTGGGCTATGGGTGAGAGGTCCGGATCTTCTTCAAAGCCCATGCAAGAAGAACAACCCCAGGATTGGGTGGGGTCTGGTGACTTAGTTCGGGGGTCCTTGACCTGTGACCTTTCATCTCAGTGGACTGCATGTGACAGCTGTGCTGGAAAGGAGGCAGCTGCACAGGAGCCATTAAACTGTGTGGGTGCCAGGGGCCTGTCTGTCGGGGAGGGATGCTTCGGGGGTCCTTGACCTGTGACCTTTCATCTCAGTGGACTGCATGTGACAGCTGTGCTGGAAAGGAGACAGCTGCACAGGAGCCATTAAACTGTGTGGGTGCCAGGGGCCTGTCTGTCGGGGAGGGATGCTGAGGCATTGCTCTGGGACCCAGCTGTGACAGAGGTTCCCCGGTATGTCTCCAAACGAGCCTGGGTTCAACCCTGTCTCTGCCACTTTGACAGGTGGCTTCACACCTCTGAGCTCTCATCTGCCCAAGGGTGATGTTGATGGCAAAGGCCAGGTGTGGTGGGAATTAACGAGCTCATGTTCGTGAGGGGCTTGGTAGGAGGCAAGCACAAGGAGCACACAGTAGGTGCTGTGCCAGTCCTGTGTCCTGGATCCGGGTATCCTGTCTGCTTGTTTACAACAGGGCTCTGTGCTGCTGAGAGCTGGCTGGGTGGGGGCACTGCTGAGTGCTGACCACCTGCTTGCCTGCTGTGGCTCAGCCACCTCCTGGGAGCCTGGCTGAGGGGTGCTGTTCTGGGCACAGAATGCCAACCAGGCTGGTTTGGGTCAGTCTGTCCAAGGCTGTGTCTCTGCGTGTGAGATGTGGTCTCCATGTCTGTGTGTCTGAGTCTGTGAATGTGTATTTCTGTGCATCTCCTGAGTCTGTGTTCCTGTGTCTGAGTCTGTGTGTCCTTGTGTCCGTCCTCTGGATGTCCCTGTCCATGTGACCCAGCCTGTGTGTGTATCTCTGCAGTCTGTGGACTGAGCTTTCTTGTTTATCTCCTTATGTCTGTCCCCATCCAATGTGGGGCCGGCTGGCCCTGCATGCGGTGACCCATTTCCCTGTGGCACCCCCTCCAGCCTGCGAAGCCCCTCCCTCTCTGGAGCTGCAGCCTCCTCCCCCTCCCCCAGATCCTGGCTGCTGCGATCTGATCTGGCTGCTGCGTCTGGTCTGGTGTCTACTGAGGAGAAGGAGCAGCCGCTGCCGCAGCCCTGTCCAGACCCCGTGCTGAGGCGAGCAGGGGACCTCCTCAGCCTTGCTCTGCTGCTGTCCCTGTCTGCCAGCCAGCTGAGGGTTACGTCTCAGTGGTCTCAGCTTCCAAGGAGGTTGCTGAGGTAAGGGTCTGAGCCGCTGGAGGTAGGGTGGGGGCCGCGATGGTGCAGCTGCTTGGGCAGGGCTGGGAGGGGCAGGAGGAGTTCAGCTGTCCAGCGTCCCGAGTCCCAGCTATTTCCGGGCATATCTCAGTGTTTTGTGTGCCTGCATGTGCATGAAGGCAGGTTTGGGCATCTCTGTGTGTTCATATGTGTACACACATGTGTCCCTGCCTCCCTGTGCCTGCGAGCACATGGGCGGCTGTGTGTCTGTGGTCCCTGTGGGTGGACACGTGTCCTCCTGTGTAACTATCTCCACGCAGACCATGTGTGTCTGTAAACCAAATGAGGTGATGTCCTTGTGGGAGCATGTGTGTCTCTGTTTTGTGTGTCCCTGCCTGTGCACATGTGTGTACCTGTGTGTTCTTGTGTGTGCACGTGTGCCTCAGTGTCTCTGGCTGTTCATGGGGTGTCTACGTGCTGCTGGCTGTGTGTGTCGTGTTCTGAGGCCTTGGCAGGTCATGTGTCCAGCCCTGTGGTCACTTGCCCCTATGCTCTGTCCCAGGTGCTGTACCCAGTGGCTTTGCAGGGCAGCAGCATGGAGTCCCTCTTCGCTGCCCCATTCCTGGAGATCCTCTACGGCAGCCAGGGCAACCTGTCCCTCCTGAGCTCCAACCACAGTCTGCCACCCCCCCACCTGCTGCTCAACACCAGCCATGGTGCCTTCTTGCCCCTGGGGCTCAAGGTCACCATTGTGGGGCTCTATCTGGCCGTGTGTGTTGGGGGGCTGCTGGGGAACTGCCTCGTCATGTATGTCATCCTCAGGTAGGCTGGGTCCCCCCAAGGTCCCCATCTGGTGAGTCCCACACAGCTGCAGAGGGAAACTGAGGCAGTGGGCTGTTTTAGGTGAGCCTGACCAGGTGGTGATTACCCACTTTCCCGATCAAATTCCTTCTTGCCCTGTCCAGGGGGTGGGGTCAATCCTGAGGCCCTGGATGCTCAACTCCCCGGGGAAGGGGACCTGATAAGGGGAAGAGAGGGGAAGGGAGGGGGCCTGCCCTGCCCTTGTCTGTCCCAGGAGAAAGTGTCACCACCCTGACCCCTGGTTTGAGCTGCGGGCCAGGCACCATGCCAAGCTCTCCGTGTGAATGACCTCATGGGATTCCTCAGCAACCCCATGAGACAGCTCTTGTCAGCCCATTCCTCAGATGGGCAAAGGGAGGCGTCTGTCCCAGGAGGAAGTGTCACCACCCTGACCCCTGGTTTGAGCTGCGGGCCAGGCACCATGCCAAGCTCTCCGTGTGAATGACCTCATGGAATTCCTCAGCAACCCCATGAGACAGCTCTTGTCAGCCCATTCCTCAGATGGGCAAAGGGAGGCACAGGGCTGAAGCCCCTTCTGCCTGGTCCCTTGGCTCCCTGCTCACGGCAGACATCTGTGGCTGAGTCCACCATCTGCTGTTCTCAGAGATGGGAAAGCTCATAGTCAGGGTCGGGGGACATGACTGGGGGGCAGTGCTGGGGTGGGCAAAGAGCCCTTCCCATGGAGTGTGCATTGGGCATGTAGAGGATGGAGGTGACCCAGGCAGAGGGGAGGTTTTCCTGGGCAGAGGAAAGGATGGACCCCGAGTCCATCCAGATGGGAGGGAATTAAAGGGGCCTGAGGACAGCAGGTGGGGTCTTGAATGCCAGGTTGGAGGGACCTGTTCCTCAGGCAGTGGGAGTCTCGGAGGTACTTGAGCAGGAAGATGACACAGCCATGGAGATGTTCCTCATCAATCCAGGAGGTATTTCCTTGACCAGAAAGAGGTGGTTCTGAAGCAAGCACTTGGGGCTCTAAAGCAAGTGGTCCCTCCTTATAACCTCAAAGGCCCCCAGCCAGAGGAGTTAGAGTAGGAATGGAACTGGTGCAGGCAAGACAGGGGCAGTGGGGGTGTCCAGGCCCTGCCTCCCCCACCCTGTCCTCTCAGTGTCCCTGAGCAAACCCCATTCCTCCCTGGGCCTTATTTTCCCCATCTGGAAAGTGAGGAAGGCGGACCGTGTAGCACGTGTTCATACATGTATGTGTACAGGTATGTTGCGTGTGTGACGGACAGTCACACAAGGGGTGGGAAGAGCAGCCACCCCTTCCCCAGTGCTGACCCTCATGTTCCATGACCCACATGCCCCTTTGTGGGTCAGAAGGGCAGCATCTGGGGCAGTCCATGTGCCGTGACACCTCCTGTTATTAGTGCTCCTCTACTGTGTCTCTCCTTTGTACTAGGGTATTCAAACTCTCAGAGCCACTTCCTGGATGAGAGCAGACAAGGAAGGTTGTCCTGCTCACCGGAGTCCCCAGAGTGATGCTCAGGAACTGCTGTGGCCACTCTGGCCCAAGAGGCGGCACACAGAATGTTCTGAGCTGGTGGATGGGGCAGTTGTTGCCCCAGGAGTCAGAAACACTTGGTTCTGAGCCCCACTCTGCTTTTTGTCAGCTTAAGGCCTTGAGAAAACAACTTAGGTCCTCTGAGCCTCATTTTCCTCCTCCATAGAGTGTGGATCAATCTTTTTTTTTTTGGTGGCTGGCTGGTATGGGGATCCAAACCCTTGACCTTGGTGTTATAACACTGTGCTCTAACCAGCAGAGCTAACTGGCCAGCCCTTTTGTGAATCTTACATAAAATCCATGTGAAGAGCTTGGCACAGGTGTCTGCCATTATCACTGTCATTGTTGTTGTGTTATTTGGTCATAACTGAGGCCTCTTTATGCTTATTCTTAATCCCTAAGAGGCAGAACTAAACTCCAGGTTCTGCCATGGCAGCTAAACTGACATGGAATATTGTCATTTCTGGTGCTGCCGCTACCATCTCCATCACCATCACCATCATCATCACCATCTCCATCATCATCACCATCACCATCATCACCATCATCACCATCACCATCACCATCATCATCACCATCTCCATCATCATCACCATCACCATCATCATCACCATCACCATCATCACCATCATCACCATCACCATCACCATCACCATCATCATCACCATCTCCATCACCATCTCCATCACCATCACCATCATCATCACCATCTCCATCACCATCTCCATCACCATCACCATCACCATCACCATCTCCATCATCACCATCATCATCACCATCTCCATCATCATCACCATCACCATCATCACCATCACCACCATCACCATCACCATCTCCATCATCATCACCATCACCATCATCATCACCATCACCATCATCACCATCATCATCACCACCATCTCCATCACCATCATCATCACCATCTCCATCACCATCTCCATCACCATCATCACCATCATCATCACCATCTCCATCATCATCACCATCATCACCATCATCATCACCATCACCATCACCATCTCCATCACCATCATCATCACCATCTCCATCACCATCTCCATCACCATCTCCATCACCATCACCATGTCCATCACCATCTCCATCACCATCATCATCACCATCTCCATCACCATCACCATCACCATCTCCATCATCATCACCATCTCCATCACCATCACCATCTCCATCACCATCACCATCTCCATCACCATCACCATCTCCATCACCATCATCATCACCATCTCCATCACCATCTCCATCACCATCATCATCACCATCTCCATCATCATCACCATCTCCATCACCATCACCATCTCCATCACCATCACCATCTCCATCATCATCACCATCACCATCACCATCATCACCATCACCACCATCACCATCAATCACCATCTCCATCACCATCACCATCTCCATCACCATCACCATCTCCATCACCATCACCATCTCCATCACCATCACCATCTCCATCACCATCACCATCTCCATCATCATCACCCGAACTATCTCAATCATTAATTCATTCAACAAATATTTATTAATCAGCCACTATTTTTCCAGCCCTGTTCCAGGTGCTTGTTTAGACCCCATTAACACCTCTCCTGTCCCTGTTGCCATTCCTGGTCTCCATTGCTAGACAGTAGTGTGGACTGGGAAGGACTTTGATGTGCTCTTACAGACTCTGGCAGCTGTGAGGCCAACATTTGAGTCCATGAGGGTTCTTGGGGGAGGCTCGAAAGGGAGGAGGACAGGTTCTTTCTCTACGATGCCATGCAGAGTCAGGTGTGTACTCTGGTACCCTACATGCCCCAACTTTTCCAAAGCATACCAGTCTTTAAGGTTTGGAACACTTTTGTGGGTGAGAATCATTTGAGGAGGTTGTTAAAATATTTGCTCCCAGGCTCCATCCCCCGAGAGTGACTCAGGGGGCCTCAGGTTGTATCCAGGAGCCTGCTATTTAATAAACTCCCTTGGGGACTCTGATGTCGAGGGACTCAGAGCTGGTGCCTCTTGTGGTGGCCAACAAGATGAGCCCCTTGCCCTTTGCTACCAGGTCCAGCCAGGGTGGCCAATGTAGCCTTTCTTCTCCCTGTCCTCTCTGCAGGCACACCAAGATGAAGACAGCTACCAACATCTACATCTTTAATCTGGCCCTAGCTGACACTCTGGTTCTGCTAACACTGCCCTTCCAGGGCACAGATATCCTCCTGGGCTTCTGGCCATTCGGGAATGCCCTGTGCAAGACAGTCATTGCCATTGACTACTACAACATGTTCACCAGCACCTTCACACTGACCGCCATGAGTGTGGACCGCTACGTAGCCATCTGCCACCCCATCCGCGCCCTTGATGTCCGGACATCCAGCAAAGCCCAGGCTGTCAATGTGGCCATCTGGGCCCTGGCCTCTGTGGTCGGTGTTCCTGTTGCCATCATGGGATCGGCACAGGTTGAGGATGAAGGTCAGTGGGGTGGCCCCCTCCCCTCACCAGGCTCCCTGTGGCTCCTGCGGGGCCCCTTCTAGCTTACCCACCTGCTGTGTCTCCAAGGGACCACGCTGACCCCGTTTCTCTCCTTACAGAGATCGAATGTTTGGTGGAGATCCCCAGCCCGCAGGACTACTGGGGCCCTGTGTTTGCCATCTGCATCTTCCTCTTCTCCTTCATCATCCCTGTGCTCATCATCTGTGTCTGCTACAGCCTCATGATCCGGCGGCTCCATGGTGTCCGCCTGCTCTCAGGCTCCCGTGAGAAGGACCGGAACCTGCGGCGCATCACTCGACTGGTGCTGGTGGTAGTGGCTGTGTTCGTGGGCTGCTGGACGCCTGTGCAGGTCTTTGTGCTGGTCCAAGGGCTGGGCATTCAGCCGGGCAGTGAGACTGCCGTGGCCATCCTCCGCTTCTGCACGGCCCTGGGCTACGTCAACAGCTGCCTCAACCCCATCCTCTATGCCTTCCTGGATGAGAACTTTAAGGCCTGCTTCCGCAAGTTCTGCTGCACGTCTGCCCTGCGCCGGGAAATGCAGGTGTCTGACCGCGTGCGAAGCATCGCCAAGGATGTGGCCGTCGCCTGCAAGACCTCTGAGACGATACCACGGCCCGCATGACTAGGCGTGGACCTGCCCATGGTGCCTGTCAGCCCGCAGAGCCCATCCACGCCCAACACGGAGCTCACGCAGGTCACTGCCCTCTAGGCTGACTCCTGAGCCCTGAGCACCTGGAGCCTTGGGTGGGCTTTCTCTTTGGCCCAGGGACGCTCTGTCCCAGAGGAGGACCTAGTCACACCATGGGACAGTTGAAAGCATTAGGGCTGCCTCTGCAGCCCTCGTCAGACTAACATGGCCCTCCTACTGCAGGGCCGAGGGGAGCACAAGGACTTTGCCCTGAAGCATCCACTGCATCGGGGGACACACCTGACTGCAGCCCACGCACATGCTCCTGTGCTCCATGTGACTTTTCCTTGGCCTCTCCCCCTGCTGTCAGCTGAACACTGTGTGCTCTGGTGGGCACACCCCTGAGGTGTGACAGTGGCTGTGTAGTCACGTGTACCTCACGAGCTGCATGCTGTCTGCATGGCAGGGCTCCAGCTGCCTTCTGCCTTGCTGTGTCTCCTCAGGGCAGCTGGAGGTGTGGGGCTGCCCGGGGGGCACAGCAGGCAGCATTACTTTGGGGTGGGACTCACCCTGAGCTGGGGGCTGCCAGCTGGAGCACCTTTTGGCGGCCCTGAGAGGGTCTTGGGTCTGCTGCTCCTCTGAAGGCTGCCCGGGGGGCACAGCAGGCAGCATTACTTTGGGGTGGGACTCACCCTGAGCTGGGAGCTGCCAGCTGGAGCACCTTTTGGCGGCCCTGAGAGGGTCTTGGGTCTGCTGCTCCTCTGAAGGTATCCTCATGCTACACGGTGCAGGCTGTGGACATGGACTTGCCCACCCCTGAGCACTGCTCATCCCTGACTGCAGCTCGGCTCTGGGCCCAACTCCCGCTTCCCTTCAGCAGACCAGTGTGAGGCCCTTGGCCCAGAAGCTTCGCAGCAAGCCTGTTCCCTCCAGAAGTGCAATGAACTGCCATGCCGAGGACCGTCCCTTGCTCTGCTCTCGGTGTGCAGGAAGAGGCTCACGAGGAGTGCTGTGTGATCACCATGGCCGCACAGCTCCATCCTGCACAAAACAGAGGCCCCATGTGCCTGGTCCTGGCTGCTCTGTTCAGGGCAGGGTGGAGGGTCCCCACGTGCTCCCAGGACGTTCCCTCACGGTCTCTCCTTTCTACTTTGCTTGAAATCAGAGGTCAGTGGCTGCTCAGCTGGAAGGAGGTCCTGGTGGCCTTGGGAGGGTAGCAGTCAGGATGTTCTACTCTGCACCCGTGACCACCTGCTTCATTCGCCAGCCTCAGTGTGTCTCCAGGTAGGGCCTGAGCTTGCTGCCAAATCTGATGACAGCTTTACAATATGGAGCTGGCCTGAAAGGTGGGGCTTGGCAGGGCTCACTGGAGACAAGCTGCAAGGACTGTCAGGGCAGTAGGGGCACTGGGGAGGGGGGGTTGTCTCTGTACCTTGGGGGATGCCCTGCGGTGGTAACCCAGAGAACCACCCTCCATGATCTGCAGACAGAAGCTGCGGGTTGGTGACTTTGCAAACGCTCTTCCTGCGGATGAGCTATTGAAATACCTGCAACACTGAAAAGACCTTTTTCACTGAGACCTCAACCAGGTGACCTCAGGCACCTGCAAAGAGCAGGAAGCATTGGCTCTGCCTGAGCCACAGAGCCTGGGCTGGCTCCTCCCACCCTGGAGAGCCCTGGCTGTGGGGGTTGTTCCTGGAAGGCCAGGCCTGTCTCTAAGATGCAAGTGGCTCTGATAATGGGAGCTGCCCGGCTACAGTGTCTTCTTGCCAGGGCTAAGTGATGTGTGAATTTGTGCTGGCGTAACATGCATCTTCATGTATTTATGCATGCAACAAGTGTCACTTTCTGTGCATGTAGCCAACCCTGAATCTGCCTTCAGGGTCATGTAGGAGTGCTGTAATAAACACTTGCTTGCTGACCCGGGCACTCTCTTTAGGACAAGGTGTTTCTGGCTCCTGCTGTGTGGGGACTGGCTGTTAGGAAAATTTTTCTGGGGTGGCTGGGAGGGGGCTGTGGGACCCAGATCGATGAGCCCTCCCATCCACTGTGCTGCTCAGCAGGCCAGGCCCTATCCTTCACGGAGGGTTCCCCAGGAGACTCCAACTTTGGGGAAATGTGAAACTGCCCATGGTGTGTTGGGCAGGTTTTCTGCAGCATAAGTAGCTTGTCACTAAACCACCACCAACTGCACCTTCCTCCTGCCCCCTGGAGAGAGGCTCCTGTGGCCCCTGTGGGTGGATGACCCTCCCTCCTAGGTGACAGGCTTTTCTTCACTGCATTTCATCTCAGCAGACCCCCTACCCCTGCCCACTTTCCCTTCCTTAAGCAGATCTGAGGGAGCTTTGGTGAAGGATGAACACAACAGCCTCCTCTGGTGGCCGGGCAAACCTGTGCGACGGGCGTCACCCCCTGGCTGCTGTGTGGGCCCAGTTCAGGCCAGGTTGACCCTCCAGGCAGATGACTCTGTCAGGGGGACTTTGGAGAGAATGGCATGGGTGTGCTAAGGTTGAAGTGCTTGTTTCCTGGGCATGGGCAGATGGGCCAATGCGCGGCTTTACAGAAGTTTTAATGATGGACACTGTTTCAGCTTGGGTTGCTATGACGCAGAATGTAGACCGGGCGGCTTACAAGCAACAGTCATTTATTTCTCACAGTTCTGGAGCCTGAAAGTCCGAGATTAGGTGCTGTCATAATCGGTTCTGGTGGGACCTGCTTCCAGGCTGCCTAGGGCCGTCTTCTCCGTGCGGGTGGATGGGGCCAGGCAGCTCTCTGGGGTCCCTTTTATAAGGGCAGGCACTAGTCCCATTCGTGAGGCTGCACCCGCATGACCTCATCACCTCCCAAAGGCCCCACCTCCTAACACCATCCCTTTGGGGGCTAGGTTTTGGCCCATGAATTTTGGGGGGTCACAAATAGTCCATAACAGACACATTGCTGTTAAAGCAAAATTTTAGCATCTGGGGAAAATTTGGAAGAGACAGGCCACAATGTGGCAGTTACAGTGCCTGAGTCGCCCAGGAGATACTGTGGTCCCGGTGGAGGGGGCTGCTGACGGTCCTGCCTCATGGGGCACTGCCTAGGGCCAGGACCCACAGTGAAGCAGGGCGAGGGCCCTGGAGCGGGAGGCGCTCCCTGCTCTCTGGTGTTGTGACTCACCCGGGCCCCATCCCCGCGCCCGGCCCAGCCCGGCCCGGTCCCTCATCCCCCACCCCCGCATCCCCCAC